AGTTTATCCTGGGACTAAATGAGAAATCAAGATGCACAGATTCCTGTTTAAGGGCAGAAATCACTCACAGGCACACACACACACGCACACACACAGAGCCTTGTTAGTGGAGACGGAAACATAGGAAGAGATATACAGCTCTCTGAGAGGTATGAGGCCCTTGAGGATCACTTCCCGCCTGAGCTGTTCCTCTGAAACATTTGTAGAGGTCAAGTAAACAGTTTGTATTGGGCTGTCAGCTGTCTCCGTGTGTGTTTGTGTGTGTGTGTGTGTGAGTGTGCGCGCGCCAGCCTACGAACAGATTGGTTTTGTTTCCCTGAAAACCCTTGTTTGTGTACCACACCGCTGATTGCATAACACGCGGAAGAGAGAGCAGACTGCTGCAAAACCACTTACAACCTGGTATAAAAATCAAGCGCACATCATCGCTGGCATCATGTCCGACCATCAAATTTAACTGGGACATAAACTCTGAGCCGGCCCCTCTTAAATGAGCCTGCCTCCGTGCTGATGTCTCTCCCGTGCATGCAGGACATTATGCTAATTTCCCCGGGTGTCTGGGTCCCACTGCTCCTCCGGAGTTCATTATTATAATTGCTAGACATGGCTGAGAACGCTGAGAATGCGAACCTGAAACCAGCGGGAGCTTTTTCCACGCAATCCATATTCAGGGAAATCCCGAGAATGTTCCCAATTTGAGCCCTAACAAAACATATGAAGACGGTGTAGATCTCCCCTTCAGCGTGTGTACACACACTTAGATTGGCTCTATTATGTCTTGGAATAATGCAAAACAGCTTCTACCCGGCTCTCCCCCGTCTCTGCTGCCGTCTCCGTCTCTTCGGTTTCACAGCGTACCTTTGAATGGCGGCCATGGCGGTGGCAGTGGCAACAGCAGTCTGGCGGGGCGTGCGGGGGGCCCCGGGCTGCCTCACTCCAGCATCCAAAGACAATGTTGGTGCAGACGGAACGGCACACCAGAGATGACACCGCTGAACGGGCTTCCTGTGAGGCTCTGGGATCTGCTCAGGGACCGTTTCACGAGGAGATTCGAGGCCCGATAGTAACAATTCTCATACAGCCCCAGCTCATCCCACAATTTCTAATAGGCCTGCGATGGCACAAGCGTACGCCGGTAAGGCGTGTTCGCTTCAGACTTGAGGAGAAGATAAAAGAGAACTCCCATGTCTGAGCCTCTGTGGTTTGTGATACTCACACCCAATCGTGTTGCTGACCTGCTCCCTTTTCACTTAATCATTTCTGACATGTTTCAACAGGTGTTTATTTTAGTCTCACACACACCTCTCCTGCCCTCGGCACAATGTTGCTCAAGAATACATCTTTCCAAAAACAAAGAAAAGAAAAGAAAAGAAAGATTTTTTCTTCTATTTTAATTTTGACTATTTAATTTTGATAATAAAAGATAATAAAAGTCTTGCATGACATTGACTCACAACCCAACTGCTTTGGAAACATTATGATTGAGGATTCAATGAAGGCTGGCGTACTTCTATGCTTAGATAAAAATTTAAAGGCAGACTTTCTGCATTGTTGGCCAGTTTTTTTTCAGCGTGGACCGTCCACTCGGCATTCATCCGTGCAACATATGAAGCATAGTAAAAAAGATTCAGATAAGTCATTTCCACCATCAATGATTTAAAAATGGGTCCAAGTTTGGAGCTGGGAATATATCATATGGACAGCCTCAGTCTTTTAAAAGTTGGGTACACTAGATTTTTTCCTAGATTGAATTAAATTCTGAGACAGGAAATTCCGTCAATATGCAGTTTAACTTTAACCCAGACTCTCTTCCAAATAGAGCTGTTGCGATATATGGACTCACTTTCCCGGTTAAAGTTATTTGCATTTTGTGTGTCCACAAACTGCATGGGAGAAACTGCAAGGAGATTTTCTGGAGTAAAATGAGTGACATATCATTAGTATCATATCTGAGGTTGACGCTGGAGAGGTTTTGGCCGGTGTCTTGCAAATAAACAATAGCTACTAAAGAAAAATCTGAGAAGTTTTTGTGCAAAGAAGAAGACCTCAAACTGGGGACGTTTGTAGCAGAAGCAATGGACCTGAGAGCACTGAAACTCTGCTTTGAGGGCAAAGCAGAGCATTTTTGCAAGGAAGATGGAGCTGAGCGTGAACGTGACGACAGGCTGCTATCGAAGTGGAAAAATTATAGAAAAAACCTTGCACATGCACAATCCATCAAAGAACAATAGACAAAAAAATACCAACCAAGTTAATTGACGGGAGACTTACAACACAGTGGAAAATGAGATATTGAGAAAAAGATAAGTTACAAAATACCTATTTTATTCTTAAAATAAACAGAATGTACAATCACAATGCCAATTTCACTCACTGTTGTCAGGTCTGTTTGTTCTAAAAAAAAAACAGAAAGAAAGGGAAAAAAAAATATTAAAACAACTCATGGTCTTTATGAAACGTACCAGCAAAATCGAACAGATTCTCTGTTTGATTCAGATTCCTGACAAGTGTTCATGAGAAGAAGCATAGCAATAGAAAAACAAGTACATTTTACATAAGAGCAGGGTAAAGTACAATTCCTGGATATCATAATATGTTTATCATTAAATAATACAATGTTTTTAATGACACTTTGTACCCAACATTAAAAAAAAGGCGCACCTCTGTTTTGTTTTTGTGTGTGGTGAAAACAAACAAACAAACAACACAAACAAAAGCAGATGAGATGTCAGTGCTGCATTGGTGTGTAAACAGTTTTCAAAGGATCGCTTCCTGTTTCGTTTGCCGACAGGAAGTGCTAAGTTACCGAGGAGATGGTGGCTAAAGGTGGTATTTCATTTTTTCAAATACTAAGCTGAAGGAGCTGAGCTACTCTTATTCGGGCTGAATCGGTTCAGTGAAATGTGCTCGGTTGCATTAACTGAGCTCAGAGCATCCTCTGTCGAGGCTGCGTGCAAACCTTCAATGACAAGCTGGAAGTTTGATCCCTGGACAAGCCCATGTTTTTCTCTGCTTTTTCAGACGGGGCTTATTATATTACCCAAAATGCACCGAACATCATGCCGTACCAAAGCAAACAAAAAAAAAAGGACTTGTGAGATCAGATTCGACTCCAATGTAAATGGCTGGTTTGGCCAAGTGTTATCCATTCTCTGTGTGTGTGTGACTCCAGTGGCGATACGGCCCAACTGAGGACCAAAACCACGAGCCCTGCTGGCAGCCTGCCGCAAGTGCTGCTCGAAATAAAACAAGAAGTAAGTGCTTTATGAAACAAACATACACACAAGTCTCCCATATTTTTGGTTACCGGTTTGCTGCCAGCAGCTGAATCTAATCACCTCGGCTTTTGCACTTTTTTTCCCTTGAGCTCCAGCACTTTTTGTAAATCTCACGTAGCCAAGCCAAGTGCCACCCCCCCCAACCCACCCACCCAGTAGAAAAATTCTGGGATGTGAATTTGGAGAGGGGGAGGGCACAGGTTTGCTAAAGCAGGTAAGGAATAAAAACAAAGCAAAATCTGGACATAAATAAACATATGAAGGGATGCCTTGGTCTCTTTTGCCTTTAACTGTGTCATCTCCTGTTCAGTCTTAAAGACTGCGTGTGTGTGCGTCAAACACCAAGGAAAACTTTTTTAAAGCTATCTTTTGCGCATGATGAGAAAGCTATAATAGACTTGGCATGTTGAAGCTATAATTTTGACAGAAGCTGTCAGCCAGGCTGGATATGACAAAAAAAAAGAAGGAGAGAAAAAAATAAAAAGAGAAACGCAGAAATAGCAAATCTGTGGGATCATCCAAGGATTATTCCAGTCCTGAGGAGTTCACATATCTCAAAATAACCAAACCCTAAAGTCTGACCTGCACCTGGTGTGGCACCGCTGGAGTCGTATTTGGACTCCATGTGTGTTTGCACGTCCCTTTTTTTTTATTTTGAGAAGTATGTGGGTGCATGTCAAAGTAGACAAATAGAGAAATGAAGCAGAGTTTGGGTACGAGATGGATCATAATTTTCCCCCACCGAAGCTGGCTTTTGTGGTATGTTGCCAAGAGGCACAATGCGAGTTATTGCTCAATAAATGCCAATGGTTTAATTCTAAGCCAAATGCGTGTCAACGCCTACGAGTATGTTGGCCTCTTAATGTGTCGAGCAGTTACACTGAGAGTTACACCAGAAGAAACATGTTGCAATACTCTTTGGAAATTACATTTCATATTCCAAGCGATGTAAATCTTTGGGTGCTACATTAAAAAAACAAAACAAAAAAAACTCTCTTAAATTACCTATCAAAAAAGAAAAAAAAAACCTTTTTAACTTAGTTATATAGATGCATCAAAAATATTCAGATTACACTTCTTTGACTCAAGTCTCAAATACAATACATAATTTATGGCTTTATAAGTTAAAACTAAGAAAAATGCTTCAATCTACATCAATGTCTCACCCACAATATACAAGTTAAATTAATTGGTTTAAAGCAAATTTACTGTCCACACCACTGTAAAGTAACATATGTGTTACTCTTATCCCTTGCTACTCAGTGCTTAACTTGCATTTTTGATAATGTTGTAGTACAAAAACATGCTCTGCAAAAAAGCCTTAAGGAAATACAAACACTATACAAAAGAGGCAGTCTTTTACTTGTAATGTCGAAGCATCCCTTAACTTCTGGACTGTGATAAAACTGAAATGTCTCATCCACATGGGTCTAGTAAACCCATAAAAAAAAGAAAGAAAAAAAAACTGTTTTTCTCATTATTGCTGTGAGAATCTCTCCCTTTGTAGTGCCTTGGTCAAAACACATTCCAGAAAGACACGTTCCTGCAGGTCTGTGTTATTCTTTTTTTTCTCCTTTTATCTCTACTTTAATTTCCAAGCAAATGGTAGAGATAGCTGATGAGAGCCCAAAAAAAAATCCCCTTTTCATTACATAAAAAAGGTTTTGTGCTTTCAAACCATGACATCAGTTGTCTTCTGATCTCTCTGGCCCCTGGTGGTCTTTAATACGGCCTCCAGACGGCTTCATCCATGCGGCCTCCGGGGTTGAGAACAGTAGGGGAATTACTGTGGCTCCCATCACCATCCACCCCTCCCTCTGTCTGGCTGGGTAGGTTAGGGTTCACCAGGGAGGTGCCTGTGGAGGCACTAGTGCAAGGCGGGATCATCCGGGACGGCGAGCGGTCCCCACCGGGAACCATGGAGAACTGGTAGGAGTTGGAGGAGGCGCCGTAGTAGAGATAGGGCGTGCTGCTGGTCTGGAAGGGTCCGCTCTGGCTCTGGGTGGAGCCCGGGTACGGAGGGGGAAGGTAGGTGTGGTAGTGAGCGCTGCCCAGCGACATGGCCGAGGTGACCGGAGGGGTGTAGGTGAAGGTGGCCGGGTAGTGCATGCGGGGGTTGGAGAAGCGGCTCTCGGTGAGCGAGGACAGGCTGGAGAACTGGCGCTCAAACTGGCCAGGGAAGGGGCTCAGGTCAGACGAGCCTGGAACACACAAAAACACACTGACATGTTTCCTTTTTCTTTTTCTTTGGATGTCCTTTGATCAAAAGGGTAGATAGCACAGACATAATTTTCCATAAAAGCTTAAAGGCACTCGGGAAAATAACCGTGAAGGTCAATCTGTCATTTGTTAAAATGATTTTACTATGATCAAAGAGACTAAATCTGCCCTAAAAACTTTTATTATGCTTATTGTGCTCTTTTTTTGCCAGATTTTGTCTACATAAAGATTCAAATTTAACATTTAATTTGAAACTGAACAACAGGAAATTAGGGAGAAGGAACACAAAAACAAATGGATAATACAGCCTCCAAATTAACTGGTGATAGGCAGGGATGCCAGTTTTAAAAAAGTTATAAAAGTCATATCCAACCAAAGGCCTGTCTTTTTCGTGACAATTTCCCAAAGTTTAACATGTATAATCAGCAGTTGTTTCTTTGGGCAGTGCATAATGTTTTTAAAGGCTCAGGGAGTATGGGAAAAACTCTGTTGGTAAGGCCAAGGGCAAAAAATCAGCACTGGATGGCGGTAACAGTAAATGGGACACTTTTATGCCACTGTGTTGCACACAGCCACGAGGGCTCAGGATTACTCAGGAAATCATTTAAAAAAACATCTTTTGCATCCAGAAATGCAAACTGACACTATTCTAAAGAGAAAAGCCCCACAACAACTCAACAGCAACACAGAATCCAAGCACTGAGCACATTCTCATCAGGCATGAGTTTAAATGTATTTATCTGTTCTAAACACAATAAGGCCGGTCAATTCAGACACTGAAAATCACTTCTTTGATCTTGTCTAAGTTAATTTTATTGCACTTGCAAGCCAAATCATCCACACACCATCTCACTAGTGTGTCATTTTTAATCAGCACTGTAGCCTGTGGCACTTGTGGAGTTATTGAATTCAATAAATAAGTCACTTGAGAAATAAAACAGCTGTAAAATAAAGAGTTGTTTCATGCCTGATATTTGTAATAACCAATTTAGAAAAGCTAATCTACTTTGAGGAAAGTTGTTTTTTCTTTGAAAATATTGTTTTAATCATAGGCTTCGGTAGTGTTGTTCTCTTCTATATCTGAGTTTTGATAAACCCCAAAAAGTGCACGAGCCAATTCGCACACATGCATAAGCTTCAACATATTTATGCCTCTCCGTGTGTGTTGGTGCATGTTTATGTGAATCTATATAACTGTTTATGCATGCAAATGTGTGAGCAAATAGTGTGTGCCTGTGCCTGTGTGTGTGTGTGTGTGTGTGTGTGTGTGTGTGTGTGTGTGTGTGGGTGGGTGTGTGGGTGGGAGTTTGGGGGGGCATGTGTGTGAATACTGTATGCACATAAAAAAGCAGTTGGGATGAATCAGGAGCTGCACATGTGGAAACACTTTGAGCAGAAACAGTTTCCATGAGATCCATAATGAGGCAGGGCTGAGCTCTGATGTGGCTCCTCTCCTCGCCTCCCATCGGCTCCAGCGTGCGCGCGCCGGCGTGCGCGCGCGCCGCCTGTGCGACACAGAGCCGAGAGGGAGCTGCTCCGTCTCACCCTTCGTTCCTCTTTTTCGCTTCATCCCTTAAAAAATACCCGAAAACCACTAACTGGCTGCGGCGAGCTCTGTGCCGGGCGAAGAGTTGAAGGAGAATAGGAGGTTCTCCTCCTTGCTTCCCCCCCACCCCACCCCCCCCACCCCCCGTCCTCGCAGTGGTTTAGTCCAGCCATGGTGCTCTTATCATAAATCACCAGGCGTCTTCCGTGTCACCATGTCTGCTGCGAGAGGACAGGGGGTGGTGGGGGGGAGGAGGGAGGGGGAGAGCAGTGTTTATGTGCAGGGAGGGATTGCGAAGCCGGGTTTGTCGCTAGCGTCAGATAGCATATGCTGCCAATTAGGGCCTTTAAACTTCCTCTTTCCACCAGATTTGTTTGATTCCAGCAGAAATAGTAGGTGATTGTCTCTGTGGCGGAAGAGCAGTCTGATCTCAGACATGGCCGGCTCTGTTCAATAAACTCCCGTCTCCGGTTTTTAACTTGTGCGCCCACATTGGTGCTCGAAGCGGCCCTGTGATGATGAGCCAGATCAAACTTTATTAGCTCAAATGAAACCAGAGTGTCACGCTGTCTAAATGTTTGGAAGGATATCACAAACGCTGAGGCATCCCTTCCGAATCAGGCGCTCTGACTCGACTTGATGAACTTCTGCAACCGCTTCTTGGCAATTTAAACATTTCAACACATGGGCCGCGCCGTTTGAAGGTGGATGGGGTGGGCGGCACGGAGCGTGCACGAGGAGAGCATCCATATGAGCTTCTGCTTGTACTTCGGTATGTTCTGTAGCCAGATACTGTTACAGAGCAGTCTGGCGAGGTGTCAACATGATCTCCGGAGATCTGAGAGCCCGAGGCACATCACTTAGGAGGCATTAAGCGCGCGAGGTGTGCGAGGCGTTCGCGCTCTCTGTGTGCGTGCGCGCTCTTACATGCACATGTGTCACTTTGAGAACAAAGCCTGACGCTCACGAGATGAAAGCTGAGGGGGAAAGACCAAACTAATCAGAGCTGACAGGGCAGCTGGCTGGATTTTAAACCCCATCTAATGCAGAGTCACACGGCTGCATCACTCAGCCTCGCTTGGGGCACACACACACACACCCACGCACACACACACACACACACACAGAGGAGCGTATAGAGTGTTAGTATGAGGAAAGAGACAGAAAAAAAAGCAGGTTGGAAAAAAAAACCCTCACATGGCAGTGAGTCAAACAGGTGTACCGGAGAGAAACTTGTCTGGCAGCATGCAGGGATTTTAAAGGAGCTTTCACATTGGGGTGGGGGGGGTAGGGGGGGTTGGTGGGGGGGATAGAGACAAATTGGAACACAGATGCTGTCGTTACTGCAAACAGACTGGCTAATGCAGTTACCCAGAATGCCTAGAGAGAGTGGCGTATCGCTGTAAAGACACTTTATTTGTCAGTCACGAGTCTGTTATTATCCCCGGGCCTGTTATTACTCATTCTCCTTTGGGATCAAAGGCTTCAAGCAAGGGAAAAAAAAAAAAGGAAACAATGTTTTTTCCTCCTCTGCCGCCTGAAAAAATGCTGTCACAATCTCTCTCGCTCTCAGACTCCAACAGGCCTCACCTTAGTTTGATAGGGAGCTAACAGCAGGTAACTGATCAGTAGCTCGTTGTTTCTGCTTCTTTTTAATGCCGTTCCTGCTTCTGTCTGAGAATGGGATGGTGTGCATGTCTGTCTGTCTGTCTTTGTCTTTGCCTCGCTATCCCGAGCCGACGAACGGTTGGGAGCCCTGATGGGGCTAACAGACTGAGCGCTTTCAAGAGGTGGCAGTGAAGTGGTTCTACCTGGCAATCGTCGAGGCACGTCACTGATGGCAGGCAGGCCCGTGCCTCGGCTGGAGGACAGGGGGGTGGTGGAGTGGACTGAGGGGGACGCCATGGGACTCAGGTAGGACGGATACGTCTGTTCGTAAGACCAGGGAGGAGAGGACTGGGGCTGACGAGGGTCTGAGGGGGAGAAACGGAGCAGGGGAAGGAACGAAGGAAGGAAGAAAAGGACAGGAAAAGAAAGAGAGAATAATTACCACTGGACTTGTTAAAATACTCTTCATTACTTGTGCTATGTGTGAGAATGTGAGAACAACACCGATAGCCGCAGACACTATTAGGCCCTGTAATCCCCTCTGTGTGCATACGGGCAAGTTTCAGATGGGCGAGTTATGCAACATCCTCCATAATGACACATCTCATGTTTACCTTTGAAGAGGAGATCTTCCTGTTTGTCTTATTAAACATTGTGCTTGCAGCTGAGACACAAGAGAGCCTTGCTGGCACTCACCCAGGGTGTAAACACGCCAGCGAGCCACCCCGCTGCATCGCTCTTTATGACTGCCTGCTTAACAGCAGCTCGAGACCAAAACTCAGAGGTGGACTGGGACAGGATTTCATACAGATACGTGAGCATATTTACTCTTTGGAGAGCTTTTTAAGTACCTACAAAGAGCCTTAAAATGGATTTGCTCCACCATTTGATTTGGAAATGGATGTGATTTGAGAATATACTTAAATTGGTTAGGAGTGGAATAACAGGGAATGAAACCATTTTAGCAAGCAGAGAGATATAAAAGAGAGCTAAAACAAGACTAAAAGTTTAAAAGAAGCAGCAAAAAATAATGATAATCTAAAAACAAACCTTATACATATAGATATATGTTCCATTCATTTTCACATGAATGCCTACTTTGTACATATATCGATACACTACAATCAATCCATCCCACTCACACAATCCTGTTCATTCCGGTAAAATGCTGCCACGCTGTCAAACCGCGTCTCAAGCGCTACCGGCACTACAAAAGCCCTGCCACAGAATAACTAATGGCTAAATGGCGGCGTGTGATGGGCCTCCAGATTTGTGAGTGGATCGGGTGGCAGCCGTGAGAGATGGCGTTTCGCTCCCCGAGATGGAGATTGATTGAGTGATGGAGTTAGAAAGAGACGGACAGCATTAAATGCAATGTAACACGCCGCATGAGCGCTCATGTCGTCAGCCCGCGGGTCAGAGTGGGGTTTGATATTTCACAGGCCGTGAGACGGTGAGACGCTTAAGGACCATGCTGGTGAAAGGCAAGTAAGTTTTGTGCGCAAAGTACACCCTAAAAAAGACTTTTTTAAACCAGAAAAAAAAACCTGAACATTTGAAACCATAACCACTTTCAAGAAAGAGACAACCTTAATACTACCCTAAAACTATGAGCTAAAAACTATGATAGCAACCCACATGAAAATAAGCCCCACAGGTGAAGCCGAAATGTGCGGTGGTTTCACTGTTTGTGCTATTGGGAATATTTTGGTACAACCTCATGTATATTACACATGAATTTGACATACTTTTGAAATACGAGCGTGACAATATACGACTACGGATTATAATTGTGATTCTGTGATAGTAAAATGTCAATGATAGATCAGTCTGTATTAGTTTCAGATGAGTCCGGAGGCTTTCTGTTATTATTTCTGCTATTATGACAGTGTTGTTACTGTGAATACTTTCAGCCATGATGATTAGATGGAGAATATCTGCTATCTTTAAAGATAAAACAGAAGAAACCTGTCTGGTTGAGCTAATATACTTTTAACACTAACTAGTCACAAAGATGGGCTTTATAGTTCGGTGAAGACACCCGTAGACTGTGTGCAAAAGATGGTCACAGGTGGGTTTTTTTACACTCGGAGCAGTGGAAACTACACGCCACTCACAATCAGAACGTGTGAAATTAAACTAGCCACTGAGACCGTAAAGCCCCGCCGAGGGCATATACTGACATCACAGAGAAAAGATTTGGCTGCTGTTGATGAGGCCGAATGCAGATGAAATGTAGTGGCTGCGTCCATCTTTAACACACAGTCTCTGCTGTCATCCCTCTGGGGCACGAGCTGACTTCAGGAGCTCACCTGTGATCTGTGACTGACCCTGTGGGTTGAAGGAGTTGGCCACTGTGTTGAGAGTTGGCCGGGGGGCTTGAGTGGGAACTGTGACCCTCACCCTCATCCTCTCGAGCTCACTAAGGCGATCTGAGAACAGGCTCGTTTTGGGTGGGTCCTCGAGCTTTTGACGATGCCCTGCACAGAGACAGAAACACAGAAGACAGGAGGTTTACCTTGCTGTGACAGAGGAATAGAAGGGCCAAAACTCAGGCCCAATTTGGGTCAAAGTGGGGTCACCAGCCATATGGCAAGTAAAATGATTATTTATGTTAAACGGGTGAGATTCGAATAAAAAAGGAATGAAATCTCAGGGTCATTTAAGGGATTCTTAATGAGAAACTGAATGCTAACTTCTGAAGGGAGTTACTTTGAGTCAAATAATGTCTCTGAGGTTGTTTGCTGTTCCACTGGCTCGTGGTTGGTCAAATATCCTGTAAGATGCGAAGCTTAATGAGTCCGATCTGCCGTGTCGTGTTTGAGTGGGTAAACAGTGATCCCAAACAATCCTTTCAGGAATGGAACGCTGCGCCCTCTTAATTACGCGGGCAAATATCTCCCATCACCTCACATGACAGGAAAATAGACAAAAGAGAGAGATGTGCCAAGACTGAGAAGTCGCATATGTGTTCAGTTTAAACTTGAGGAAGAAGCTTCAGCTAAACACGAGCTCTCACGCCATTTCCCCATTATCCCCACAGGAGCCATAACCAGTGCCAAATACACTATATTGCCAAAAGTATTTGCTCACCTGCCTTGACTCACATATGAGCTTAAGTGACATCCCGTTCCTAATCCATAGGGTTCAATATGACGTCAGTCCACCCTTTGCAGCTAGAACAGCTTCAACTCTTCTGGGAAGGCTGTCCACAAGGTTTAGGAGTGTGTTTATGGGAATTTTTGACCATTCTTCCAGAAGCGCATTTGTGAGGTCGCACACTGATGTTGGACGAGAAGGCCTGGCTCTCAGTCTCCGCTCTAATTCATCCCAAAGGTGTTCTATCGGGTTGAGGTCAGGACTCTGTGCAGGCCAGTCAAGTTCATCCACACCAGACTCTGTCATCCATGTCTTTATGGACCTTGCTTTGTGCACTGGTGCACAGTCATGTTGGAAGAGGAAGGGGCCAGCTCCAAACTGTTCCCACAAAGTTGGGAGCATGGAATTGTCCAAAATGTCTTGGTATGCTGAAGCATTCAGAGTTCCTTTCACTGGAACTAAGGGGCCAAGCCCAGCTCCTGAAAAACAACCCCACACCATAATCCCCCCTCCACCAAACTTTACACTTGGCACAATGCAGTCAGACAAGTACCGTTCTCCTGGCAACCGCCAAACCCAGACCCGTCCATCAGATTGCCAGATGGAGAAGCGCGATTCGTCACTCCAGAGAACGCGTCTCCACTGCTCTAGAGTCCAGTGGCGGCGTGCTTTACACCACCGCATCCGACGCTTTGCATTGCACTTGGTGATGTATGGCTTGGATGCAGCTGCTCGACCATGGAAACCCATTCCATGAAGCTCTCTGCGCACTGTTCTTGAGCTAATCTGAAGGCCACATGAAGTTTGGAGGTCTGTAGTGATTGACTCTGCAGAAAGTTGGCGACCTCTTCGCACTATGCGCGTCAGCATCCGCTGACCCCGCTCCGTCAGTTTACGTGGCCTACCACTTCGTGGCTGAGTTGCTGTCGTTCCCAAACACTTCCATTTTCTTATAATACAGCTGACAGTTGACTGTGGAATATTTAGGAGCGAGGAAATTTCACGACTGGATTTGTTGCACAGGTGGCATCCTATCACAGTTCCACGCTGGAATTCACTGAGCTCCTGAGAGCGACCCATTCTTTCACAAATGTTTGTAAAAACAGTCTGCATGCCTAGGTGCTTGAATTTATACACCTGTGGCCATGGAAGTGATTGGAACACCTGATTCCGATAATTTGGATGGGTGAGCAAATACTTTTGGCAATATAGTGTATATAGTATGCCTCCTAACTGTCGGCATTCCTTAGCTTATAATTTTACACCATTATACCCGATCCTGATCTCATCACCATTTCGGTCCGGTAACGCGACACTTGTAAATACAAACCACGGTCAACGCTTTACGATAAGTAATGTGCGCACAAACACCAGACAGTGTGTCACTCTCTCAGCCCGAGCCCAACCCAGTCCCAGCGCGCATCAGCCGTGCAGTGGGAACCAAATCAAAGCATGCCCCGAGCCCCAGGTGTGGACTGGAGTTTAGCAAAGGTGGGGTAGGAACGAGAGGCCTGTGCACACACGGCTCTTTTTAAACACTGACACAGAACTGTGTCAGAGCGTCTGTCTGGTCTTGCACTAGTTCCCCTCTAAAGGCTGTAAAGTAAATATCAAACAGAGGAGAGTAGAAGCTCCTGCTGTGCTTGGCAGAGCCCCAGCTGGCACGGGCGGAAAACAGCCAGCTACTTCACAATCCAGCCCAACCTGCCTGCACCCTGGGCTGGGAACAAAGGCCCGACGCTACACCTACAATGCAGGGTGGGTGCTGAAGATAGCAGAGGAGAGAGTAAACAAAGAATCTTTCAACAAAAAAAGAAAAAAAAGGAGTCATCGTCAGTGCTGCTGAAGCATCATTACAAAGACAACAAAAACTAAAAAACGAAACGAGGACTTAACCACACGTATCAATGACACCCTGTTGAATGTCACAGTCTGCCTTCTCTTTCTCCGAAGTCTCATCCAGGCGCGATGATGGTCAAATAAATGTAAAAGGGAAATGGCGTTTTTTTTTTTTTCTTTCTCAAAGCCGCCCATGAGGGGCCTGGCACATGTCCACCTCAGCAACAACGCATCATTTCAGCTCCGGACACGCTATTAAAAACCATCTGACTTTTAACGACTAATTAATCTAATCTGGAGCAACGTTCGGGAGCCCAAATGCCAAATTCTGCTGCAGCAAAATGAGATTTGAGAATGGCGGCACTGAAAAGGCAAGTCACTGACAGTCAGACGGGCCGTGATTTTTATTACGCTGACGTCTCTGGACTGGCATCATCCAGCTCAAAATAAACAGGCAATCTCATCATCGCCTGCTTTTAGCTGCGCCGGAGCAGAGCATAAAAATCGGCTGCTTTCGGACTATATAACATAATTCATGTCCATATTTCATTAATAATATTTCCCCGTCGCTCCTGCGGATAATTTGTACCTCTCTTTGGCATTCTTCACTGCTCTGTGCAAGCTGTGCCCAGTCAATCATGGCGTTTCCATTTTCAACAGACTGAATTTCTATTCTAAAAAAGCCTCGGGACACAGTGCAGGCTTTGTGCACAGCCTGTCTCCTAGTGATGGGAATAAATAGCAATGAGAGTCCAAGGGAGATGAGGGGAGACAGAAAGGGGGTGGACACAAATGGGGAGGAGGGCTACGGAGAGGAAGAGACCCCGATGGCCTGTAAATTAAGAGCTGTGTGTGCATCCCGAGCAGTCGGGCGACACGGGCTCAGCAAAGAGCGCAACAAATGGGGATTCAGTTAAAGGGAGTGTAGGATTTCTGTGTAGGATCTTTCAACAGGATCCCGAAACACACACACACAGATTTTGACAGGACAATGATGGGTTGATGTTTGTTTCTCAGTGTTTTCTTCAATGATAAGCCAGGAGTACCCTTGTTCAAATTATTATTAGGAAACCCACATTTCCTTGATATTGCATTTGCTCTTTTAGGAAACGGCCATAACACACAAAAAAGGGACACAAAATCACCCTAAAAGCAGGTCTAAAAACAAAGACAGATTTCTTTGAATACGTGCTTATATCAACTCATATATGGAGAGACAAATCAATAACTCTATTTGACAGGGAAAAAAAGACCCTAAGGAAGGTGCAGCTGACTCTGGAGGTACAAAGTTCTACTGTGCAGCTGCACCTGTACAAATATAGACCTTTCCTGCATCTGCACCAAAAAACTGCAAATGGACTGATTCGTTTTGAAAGTTCAAACAGGACTTTTGGCGGCACTGTGTGACCCAACGCTTAGAGGAAAAAGAAGGGGAAATTTAATCAATAATCCTTTAAGCACGGCGGTGGTTGGTTCATGATGTGACTTGTGTAGCCTGCAGCTAGGGGGGGAATTTAACAGTTAGAGGGCAGACTGGATTCAAATAAATCCGAGCAAAGTCTGGAAAACAAACATCCCATTGTTATAGAGGCTGTCAGTGAAAAGAGGACAAACCAGAACAAGGATTTTAAACAGCCTAAAAATTCATTGTGGACTATGTCAAGTGGTGCAAGACCAGTATTTGAAATCCCTCCATCTAAAGTTGATGGGGAATCAGAGGATAGATATAAAACTGGAGTTCATGCAAGACAGACCAAGAATCTCACTGAAGCAGAAAGTTGTATAAAGAAGAATGAACAATTATCCCCCCGAAGCAGAACACAGACTCTCGTGGCTACAAAATACTTCCAATACTTGACAAACATACTGAATGGTGCCTAATTATTTTCTTTGGGGGGTTTTGTTAATGCTTTAAAGAGAAAAAAGATCTGAAACGATTCACAAGGTCTGACACCGGCAGCTGAATGTCGAGGTCACAATTCCAGGAACCTTCCTTTGTCAACCACCACAATGCGAAGTTAGAAATGGATGTATGCGACCCAGCTTAAAGCAAACCAACGCATCATTTCACTCCTGTAGGAATCCAGCATGTCAACCACCACATTAAGGTCCAATTTACACTCCAAACAGCCAGACCTCAAGTCCATTAGTTTACCAGGCCTTGACAGTAAATACAGTTTTTCCTGAGTCAATTACACATTTTAGAGGACAACACTTGCCAAACACAAGACGTCTCAGCTGTTTTATCGGAACCCTAGCAGGGCGTTGGAATGAGCCGGGGGTATTTAAAGGAGCGGGAAAGGCGGATGATTTCACTGCCGTAGGGAAAGTCCCTGAGATTCCCATCATCCCTGTGAAAACAGCGGAGATTTTCGATAGCGCCTGCCACTTCCCTGCCCAGCCAGCGGCCGGAAACATGGACAGATTCATACCAGATGTGAGCGATGTGAACACACACAGAAACACACTCATGCAGAAAAAGGTGTACGCAAACCTCTGCAGAAAAGAGCATCAGGCACAGTTTGGCAAGGCACTCCTGGCATATACGCACGCTAACGCACACT